GCGCAATCTGCCCATGTCTCCTGTGTGCACATCGCCGGCGTGATCGGCCCTCAGCCTGCTACTGCGCATGCACAGGATTTCGGAATGAGAGCGCTGGACAGTCTGTGCATGCGCAGTAGCAGGCTGAGGGCCGATCACATGAGCACTGTACACACAGGAGACGCGGGCAGGTCTGGGACAGCTTGGAGAGGGGTGTCTGCCCAGCTGGCCGAGGGACTGGTACGGTCATGACTGCTACTGAGGATCTATGTGAGCGGAATGATTTATCTGCAGGGTGGGGGTCGTGTCGCCATATTATCAGATTTGTTTGCCCGGCTCAACACTGATTGGCTGGGAAGTCGGCTTCCCGGCCAATCAGCATTGAGCCGGTCAAACAGAATGGAGTCAGCTTCCCGGGCAATCATGGAGCCCTGGCTTCCTGATTGCCTGGGAAGCGGGCTCTATGCTACTGGAAGTACCGGTATCGGTACAGCTATATAAAGCTGTTCCTAATAAATTAAGAGGGTACAACTGGATTGCATTGCTGTACTACTTTAAATTAAAGAAGATCTAAACTCTAACTAGATGACATTTAAGCACTGTGTTATATACAATTAAGTTTTTTCATTAAATACTGTTTTTTATCTTTTGCTAATCTCCTGCAGCCTGTTTAGCCACTCCCTGTCTACTTTCGCATGCTCCAGTGGTAGCTTCATCTCATTGCTGTGGTGAAGCATTCTGATAGTGACAAAGCGGACTAGGTCTGTGCAATGTGCGTTGGCAAGGTTGCTTGCAGTATCCCTCAGGGTGCATGTGACAGGGTGACAATACAGGAGCACAGTTGGGAGATAGCTGTTACCCTATAACAGGAAGTACCTGAACAAGGACATGTGGTTGGGTTTAGATATTTTAGGCATGATAAATGTTCTTTTTACAGCCGCCATTTTATACCTATTAGTTGACCTATTTGGTTAGTAAACAAGGTATGAAATACACTTTATAAATGGTCCATTTCGGAGAGTTTAGGTTAGATTGGATTTATCCCAGTTCATCATGTAATAGCTAATGTGGTCAGAAATGTTTGATAGGTACCAGACTTTATGCTTTGCAAGAAATCTCCAATAGTTTTAAAGTTGATATCTTTGTAATTCTGGAATTTCTTCACCAAATCCTTCTGAAGTTTCAACATATCTGGCAAAAATTTCACCATCTGTAGTTCTGTTTCCTGTAAAACAAAATAAAGTCATGTAATAGTAGTCTTCTTTACATGGAAATATTTCTAAATAGCAAAAATATTCCACAGGGTTATTAGTAATATTGGTGGTAAGGGCTTGTTCACACCATGTCCAGACCAGCTCTGGAGCAGATCTGCAAACGCAGTGCGGTTTTGATGCATTTTTTGCTTAAAATGGGCTTCTAGTGTGGTTACATGCGTTTTTGATGTGTTTACAAGCATTTTGCTACGCTCCAGACCAGAAAAAAATTGGTCATGCAGCATTTTTTTCCCCCCGTGCTGGAATGGTAAAATACCATAGGAATACATTGTAATACATTTCAGGTGCATAAAAAACTGTTCAGGTGTTCTGTACATGGTGTGAACGAGCATGAAAACAGCATACACAGATGCTTAAAGTGTAAATGAACCCCAGAGAATAACTATACCAATCTTCCTGGTGCATTATGATGGTAACTGAGCAGAATATTGCCTTTCATTTAGGTTGTAAAGCATCCCATAGCCAGGGCTCGAAAAATCCACTCGTCCACTCGTCTGTGACGAGCAGACAGTGGAGCCCGACGAGCAGCTTCCCGGCCGGCCGTTGTAATTAC